CTTGAGAGAACAATCATGGGAGAAGGAAGGGCACCTTATGCACAGGGAGACAGCTTAGGGCGCAGGAGAGTATGGAGGGATGGACACTGGGAAGTGGTACCTTGGGGAGGAAATTGGAGGGGAGCTGTTGCATTGTGGTAAATTGTGGTCAATGACATGAGACAAAGTATATGTGAACTGCTGTATCGAGAGTGATTTTGCTCTGTAAATCTTCACCCAAATCTAAATAAAATAAAATTAAAAAAAAAAAAATTACTGATTATAATATCCTTGCTTCTATTTAATGATGCTGTTAGTTGCCATCGAGTTGATTCTAACTCATGATGACTTCATGTGTGCAGAGCAGAACGGCGCTCCATAGGATGTTCTTGTCTGTAATCTTAATGGAAGGAGATCGCCAGGACTTCACTGGCTGCAGTAGTGCTGGGTAGGTTCAAACTGCCAACCTTTAGGGTAGCAGTTGAGCATAAACCATTTATATCATCTAGTGACCTTCTATTTTCTGTCAGGTATGGCTTTTAGAGGTCACTGTTGAAGCTCTAGGGAGCTCTGGTGGTATAGTAGGTAAGACATTTGGCTGCTAACCAGGTCAGTGGTTCAAATCTACCAACTGCTCCATGGGAAGAAGATGAGACAATTGACTTCTGTGAAGATTTATAGCCTTAGAAACCCAATGAGTTTCACTATGAGTTGGAACTGATTCAATGGCAGTGGGTTTTAGTTGAAGCTCTGGTGGCACAGTGGTCAAAGCACTGGGTTGCTAACCAAAAGATTGGCAGTGTGAACCCACAAGCTACTCTACAAAATGATGAGGAGTCTGTTTCCCTAAAGATTTATAGCCTTGGAAACACTGTGGGGCAGTTCTGTTCTGTCCTTTAGGGTCATTATGAGCTGGAATTGACTTGATGGTAGTGGGTGGGTTGAAGCTATTAAAAATTTCAGATGAGAAGGTACCTGACTCCTATCTTTACAATCTCCTGCATGAGACTGTAAGCTTTGAGAGGGTAACAATTCTGTTTTATCTACCACTGAATCCCAATACTTAACAGAAATCTAATGTAGTATATAATGTGTATGTATCTACATCTTTTTTGAAAAACTAAAAACAACAACAGTACTCTAAAACTTCCAAATTGGTGTGGAGCTTAGTATCATGTCATCAGAGAGGTTCCCAAAGGTTGAGCTGGACTTCCTAGTTCTCTGGTGACTGGTATTTTGTCAGTATTTTTGCCTTCTCAAGGGGGAAGTTAAGAAAAGGAAAACTCACCCTCTGGAGCACCAGGTTTCTCACTTATCCTAATCTGCCGCTCAGGAACCACAGGCTCCCCTTCTGCATTTCCAATATCTGCAGGAAGGTACGGCAATGACCGCCTCTCCTCCTTCAATGACCTTGGGAAATACAGAGGTAGCAGCTTTTGGTAGGTAGCCTGTGTCAGAAAAGCAAGATATTTTGTGAAAAATAACAAAGTGGGAAAGCAGACATCAGTGGTGCTGTGGTGCTTGGTGCTGCTTCATACAGTGTAAAGACAGCTTCCACCAAGAATTAAGATCTCACCACTCTGAGCTCAGGCTAGACGCTGTCCGGGACCCTATTGTTTTCTTGTGTTAAGATCAAAGATCAAGATACTGTTAGCCAGTCATGTAAAACATGATTCCCATTCTGGTAATTGTAGATCACTTAACTTGGAATTCATTAAGTCCTGCCACTGCTGTCTCCATCACCTACCTTGATTGTATTAATGGTATCTCTCAAGATTTGGTTCAGATGTCACCTCCTTAAGCCCCAATATGCAATCAGGGTCCCAAGAATGCAGGTTTGCTTTTTCATAATTATTATTAACAGTTCCTTGTGTTCTATGACAATAGCCAAATCTCTTGCACAGACCTCACTCCTTAGCTTCAAACTGATACGAAAAATCATTTGCCTGTGATGCTCCACTGGCCCCTAAGATCAACACATTCAAGAAAGAACTTATGTTCATCTCTTCTGTTCTTCTCCCCACACCTTTTACCCTTTCTACCTATGGTGTCATTGGTGGCATCATTATTCTCTCATCTAAGCCAGAAAACTAGGATTTATCCTTAACTCCCTCCTGTCTTTTACTCTAAATATTCTATTGATCACCAACTCCAGCTGAATTTATTTTTTAAATACTTAAAAAAATTTCAACTGCCCTAATTCAAACCTGATAATTCCTCATTTGGAGTACTGTAACCATCTCTAATCTCTTTTCCTCACCAGCAGTTTTTCTCCTTCCAAACCATCCTCCACATAGCTAAAATACAAATTAGACCACATCATCTACTTGGAATGCTTCTATGTGACACAAGGACTTGTGCGAGATTGCCCTTGACTAGCTTTTACTTTTGCCACTTCCAGTTTCATATTTTATCCAATAGCAGCATGCTCACCCTATGCTATTTCTTACTTACACACTTGGAATGACTACTGCCTCTTACCATTCCCTTGGCAAATCTTACTTGAATTCATTGAAGTGAATTCACCTTACATATCACTTCCTACAGCAAGCATTTATTAACACCATGATTAACACTCATAACATATGAGTGTTCTCATATTTCCATCAATGCACTTACTACAATCATCTTAATTTGTCTAAATTGTCTGTTTCCACTAACAGATTATAGGCTACTTGAAGACCAGATGGTAATTTGTTCACTGATGTATCACTAGAACCTAATACAGTAAATCTAATATATCCTAGGTGTTTAAAAAAAGGTTACTGAAAGAGTGAATGAATTGATTAAGCCAGAACAAACAAGAGAAGATAGAAACAAAATATGGGTATCACTTCATCAAATTACACAGTACTTACATATCATTATTTACGTAGTTATACATACTTTAAAGGGAGCTCTGGTGGTGTAGTGCCTAAAGCATTTGACTGCCAACCAGAAGGCTGGTGGTTCAAACCCACCTGCCACTCCTTGGAAGGAAAGTTGGGCAATCTATTTCCACAGTGATAGCATCTCAGAAACTCAAGGAGAGGTCACTATGAGTTGGATCTCACTTCATCAAATTACATAGTACTTACATATCATTATTTATGTAGTTATACATACTTTAAATAGATACTTCACACATATTAACTCAGTTATCACTGACATCCTATGAGTAGGTACCATTAAAATTCCTATTTTCCCCAGCACAGAAAGGTTAAGTAACTTGCCCAAGGGCACAAAATTGGGAATTAAATGAAGTTGAATTGGACATAGCTCACTAAAACGAAATATACATTAATAAGATAAAAATTATAAATTATTCTCTATAATGGCTCTCAATTAAATTGAAATATATTAACCCTTATTACATAAAAAGAAACATATAAACCTCACAATCTATTCAGTGTTAGCCGCTAGGCTAGGTTATCACCTCTTTCCAGGTCATGTACCAAAGCTCTTGCAGCACAGTAGCAGTTTTTCAGTTATATTCCTGCTTAAGTTTGGAGGTGATGCCTTGAGAACTAACACAGAAGGCAAAGCAGACCACTTCTCCTTTGTGAGATTGCATTGACAGAAAGTGTCATAGTGAAAATATGAACAAATACCCCTCCCTGAATTGTTTTTAATCTGTCATATACAGTCTTTCTCAATGAATGATTGTTAAGCCCCATTGCATGCACACATACACACACACAAACACAAATACATATGTAAATAATTAGGATTACCCTACTGGCAATTCAGTAAATAGATAATGATGAGACAAAGACAAATACAACTAAAAACAAAATTAAAACAGTGCAGCATAATCAGTAAAATACCTCTTCAAGTTCAGAGACGGCAAACACGACTTTTTCAATGGTGTCCCCATGAATCTCTAGAAATCTCCTCACAGTGCCTAAGAAAAATGATAGAAAAATCAATAAGTAAGAAATTATTTTCATGTAAAGAGAAATCAAACATTTCTCCATTAGTGAACTTTTCACCATATTTTAGACTGCGAATTTTTTGAAGGCCAACTACATTTTATACTAATATTATCAGGGCCGAGCACACATGAAAAATATGTCAAGTAATCATTCAAAAGTATCTGGTAACTGAACTGACATGTATTCTCTGGGAGAAGCCTAAAGAAAATTCTGCATTGAAATAAACTTCACAGGTCATTTATTCATTTAACAAAATTTGAGTGACTAGTATGTGGTAGGCCTTGTGCTCTATATAAAAAGTGCTAAACCAAACCAAACCCACTGCTGTCAAGTCGGATCTGACTCATAGCGACCCCTCCTTGGGTTTCCAAGGTGGTATCACTACACAAGTAGATTGCCCAATCTCCCTTCTGAGGAGTGGCTGGCAGGTTTGAACCGCCAGCCTTCCGGTTAGCAGTCAAATGCCTTAGGCACTATGCCAGGAGGTCCCTCTTAAAGAGTACGAAAACCAAAACCAAATTCACTGCTGCTGAGTTGGTCTCAACTCATAGCAACCCCTCCTTGGGTTTCCAAGGTGGTATCTCTACGGAAGCAGACTGCCCAATCTTCCTTCTGAGGAGTGGCTGGTGGGTTTGAACTGCCAACCTTCTTTCTGGTTAGCAGTCAAATGCCTTAGGCACTATGCCACCAGAGCTCACAGAATAAATCCACAATGAATCCTTCAGATATGTGAAGATGGGCATTATATTTGCTAAAAACATGCTTTTTGTTAGGAGAAATAGTACTAATTTTTAAAATGGCTTGCCTTCAGGTGTGTCATTGTCTCATGAGATATGACACCCAGAGCTACAGACAAAATTCCAGGTATGACAGTCTGAACTTGCATATAATACTGTGAGATTATGGACTCTCTTGAGCTGAACACCATATTTTTAAATCACATATATCATGTGAGCTCCTAACAACTGAGTCAAGACTTGTTTTAAACCTGAATGCAAGATTTTATATTTAAACAGCACACAGGAAAAATGCTGTTTAAACTGCGAAGTGCTATACAAATATGGTATCATGAAATTTGCTTTGACCTCATTAATTGAGCCTATTAACATTATTCTGAGTTCTGATTCAACTCTTCAAAGCATTGAACATCATTCCCAGCTTGGTATCATTTTCAAAGCCAATAAGCAAGTCTTCTACTTGCTTATTGTCTTTATTCAAGTGGATAAAAATGTCACCCCAAGAAAGTAAATTGAGAGCCATACATCTTAAAAATAGAAACTTCCCTCCAGGGTGCCATGATCAGTTAATCTACTTTGGCTATAACTACAACTATTATTAGTTGCTGGCAAGTCAATTCTGACTCTTGGTGACCCCATATGTGTAGAGTAGAACTGTTCTATAAGGTTTTCAAGGCTGTGACATTTTGGAAGCAGATTGCCAGGCCTGTTTTCTGAGATATGTCAGGGTAGGTCAAAACTGCTAACCTTTCAGCTAATAGTTGAACATTTAAGCATTTTCACCACGTGGGGATGCCCAACTATGCAACCAGTGATAAAATTTTAAGACTCAATTTATGTACAACATCTCTATATTACTTACGAAGTGCTATGTGTGTTGCATCCTCTAAAGGATAACCTCGTTTTGCAGAATTTATGACACAGAATCCAACAGAAGACATTGACTGCTCTCTGCAATCAAAGAGAAAGCACAAAAACTGCACTAAAAACACTGGTCATACATACATATTACATACATACTAATTTCAAAATGCAGCTCAACCTCTCTTTCCCTACCTCTTTAACAAATTCACTATAATAGTTAACCTAATTACATTATCTAATAATTATATTAACATACAATTGTACCATTTGAGGGATAAATATATTCTAAGTAAAGACTGTATAAAATGGAAATAGGTTAAGGTGTCAAGTCATCCAGATCCATTCCAATTGCCTTGCTGTGTTTGAGAAGATAATTTTACCTACAGGGTTTCCCTAAATTATCTAAGTCCCTAAAAATTCGACTTCAGTATCCAGGTTTCATCTTTAAAGCTAGGGCCTTTAACTATGTATGGCGTGATATACCTAGGAAACATGCCTTACTTTGCCAGCTGGAGTACATTTCTGTAGCAGCTGTACAGGGAGCTCTCAGCCGCTGTACGGTAGCGGCTCTTGTACTTAGGTCCCACTGTGTGAATGATGAACCGGGCAGCTAGGTTAAACCCTTTTGTCAATTTTGCTTCACCTGTCCGGCAACCTGGACACAATGGAAGCATAAATAAGTCAAGAAGATGTTAGAAAAACAGCAAAACAAAGCATAAAATAGACAAAGTATTTAAGAACTTTGAGATATGTCAGCTAAAAACATAGATCAAATACAAGTATTTATTTCAATACCTCCAGTTCCCAAAATGACAGTGAAGAAATACAATAGGAATGAACACAGGTGAATAGAGTGGGAGAGAAAACATGAAGCAGAAAAGGATCATCAAAATTCTGCAAGGCAGAGAGTCCATGGACTAATAGCAACTGATCTCGCAGAGCAGGAATGAGGTAAGCAACATAAAGGAGGCTGGACTGCACTGAAAGGGCGCATAACGTTTAAGAAAGACTGCTTTGATTCAAATCCCAAGTCCACGACATTCCTGCAGTGACACTTTGGGTAGATAATTAACCTCAACACGTTTCAATTTCCTACTTAATGAGGAGACTAATAGTACTTACTTTAGAGGATTAAATGAATTACTATATATGCTGTGTTTCATTCTGTTATACATGTTGATGTTGTTATGTGCCGTCGAGTCGGACCCGACTCATAGTGACCCCTTCTTGGGTTTCCGAGGCAGTATCACTACGGAAGTAGATTGCCCGACCTTCCTTCCGAGGAGTGGCTGGTGGGTTTGAACTGCCAGTCTTTTGATTATGCATAGGGTTGCTATAAGTCAGAGCCAACTTGATGGCACCTAATAACAACAACCATATATGCAAAGTGCTAAACCTGTATTAGCTGTTATTACTGTTGTTATTATTATAGAACACTATGAAGGTTCAGATACTGGAGGTTCTAAGTATCTCTAAAGGTCCTATGTGAAGTAGGACTAAAAAGAGTATACTGGGTTAAAATTATATGTAAAAACAGTCAAACCAGCAACAACTACTGGCTCAGTCAGCCCACCCAGGTGATGGTTTCTCCACTACTATAGCAGCAGGAAGGAAGTTTACTCTCTAGATGCTGAAACAGAGTTTCTAGACTCTAGAACCCTTGGTGCAGCTGAAATGAGGGGGTTTAAGTGTTACACATAATTGTGAAACTCCAGTCCTCTGCTATTAATTGACTTCTAAAAGACAGACACCCAGGCTTATACCCCTGGAGGATTTCCCTTTAGGAAATTAAGATGTCCAAACCAAAGGAACCACTGATTCTGCTGAGGGAGGTTCCCTAACAAAGTAACAGGGCTCCTGCTCTATTTTTTTTTTTTTTAATTAGGATTTGGGTGAAGATTTACAGAGTAAATTCACTTTTCATACAGCAGTTCACATATACTTTGTCTCATGTCATTGACCAAAATTTA